CATGCCGGGGGGGCCAGTGCGGATCAAAAAAATCCGCGCGGGGCGCCAACAGTTTCGTGTGTGATTGTCGTAGGGGCGACAGGCGTTGGCGACTCGGGCGTGCGGTCGCGCCTCCTGGCGCCCCAGCTGCAGGCAGCCCGGACGCGGAAGGAGAGAGAACACGTCGGGCTCTCGAGGAGCTCGGGCGGTCGGGCCGCTCCTCAGATCAGACCCTGAGATCCGGGCGTGGCAGCCCTGACCTTCCAGGAGGGCTTAGGCATAGCACCAGGACCTCGACATCTCTTTTTTTTTCCGACCACGACGGCTGGCCCTGCCACGTGGCTGATAGCGACTCCGTATTCTTTGGTGGTCGGCTGCCCACGCAGCCCGGCTCCCCTCCATGTCCGGGGCCCGGTCTCAGTGGCCATGCGAGGTTGTCGAGGCATCCAGCCGACCAGGACCTCGACATCTGATCTCCGGTCGGGGTTTTAGGCAGTCCAGGTCGGCCTGTAGGTCTGGAGTGCTAGAGGAGGAGGAGGAGGAGGAGGAGGAGGAGGAGGAGGAGGAGAGGAGGAGGAGGAGGAGGAGGGGGAGGAAGAGGAGGAGGAGGAGGAGGAGGAGGAGGAGGAGGAGGAAGAGGAGGGGGAGGAGGAGCTGTAGCGCTCTGGAAGGTCAGGGAACTCACCGCGCCGGGCGTCTTTTCACGCCCGGCCTCTGGCCCAGGGGCCCTCTCAGATCGGCCGTGCTCAAGACATGCTGCGGCCTGCTGTTGTTGTCGTCCGGGGCTCGAGTCGTGATGAGTTCTGATGCTTCAAGGTGGTGCGAAACGTCAGCTCCTGAGGACCGGTCAATCCCCCTTGTGCCAGGAGGAGGAGGAGGAGGAGGAGGAGGAGGAGGAGGAGGAGGAGGAGGAGGAGGATGAGGATGAGGATGAGGATGAGGATGAGGATGAGGAGGAGGAGGAGGAGGGGAGGAGGAGGAGAGGAGGAGGAGGAGGAGGAGGAGGAGGAGGAGGGGGGTAAGTAGGGAAAGGAGGATGAGGAGGAAGAGGAGGAGGAGGGGAAGAATGAGGAGGAGGGAGAGGAGGTGGAGGAGGAGGGATTCCGACATTTCAATTTGGACCATTCCCCGGCGAGAGCCCATTCGTGGCCAAGACTGGCCGGGGCCAGGAGGGGCTCCATCGTCCCTTGTCCAGCGCTAGACAACCAAACATTCTCCGTGGGACAGCGCAGACGAGTTCGAGCTCGCTACGAGTGAAAGCGAAGACGAAGCCAGGACGAGGATAACAGCGGGTGGGGATATAAATCGAGAATCTTTGAGATCTGGGGGCTCTGGAGGATGTATCGGGCGCCCCGGCCTTCTCAGAGCGTTCTGGATGGCTCTGAGAGCCTTCAGGAAAGCTCTGGAACGGATTTATCCTCGTCCTGGCCCCGTCCGAAAAGCAACGTGAAAGCAACATTCTTGGCGGCGCGCACAAGGGGGGTATGGGGGAGGGGGGGAAGGCTTCTTAGGAGGAGGCCACTTCTTGGAGGGCGTCGGCCCTACATCTATCCATCTATAGACAGGGCCCGCGCCTTCTAAGAAGCAGGGGTGCTTCTAAGAAGCCTTCCCCCTGGCCCAAAACCCCTCTGCGCGTGGTCGATTCTCCTGGGAGATGAGACATGCCGCGCCGTTTGTTTTGAACTCACCCTTGTAGACGAAGCCGGCGCCGCGGCAAACCCGCGGCAAGCCTTGCGTCCGAGGCGGAGCTTGCCCTGGTGGCCGAGACGCCCTCTCAGAGACGGAAGGCCGCGCGTCGGAACAGACGGCGCGCCGACACAATCATGAGTCTTGCAGTCGTCCAGCATGGCCACCAACTGCCAGCGGCGCGGCGGGCGAATCATAGCGGGGGTCGGGGGGCGTGAAGGTGGGGGGCAACGAGTAGGGGGGACTGGCGTGGGGGGGAGCCACATCGACCTGGAATCGGCGACACATGGTCGACAGATCGGCGATAGGCCCCCGACAGTGAATCCGCGCCTTCCTGGGCGGGCTGGGCCCATCAAGGCCCTATCGGCGATCAATGGGCGGTTGCGGGTCGATGCACCCCCCCCCTGTGCCTCTTCTTCCCTCCCCTATCGCTGCCCCTGGAGAGGGGGGTCAGCGTTGGGGGCGAAGACGACGACGGCGTCGAGCAGATGTCCGCAAGAGCGCGGGGGGGGGGAGGGGCGAGGCGTAGCGCCCCTGGGGACGACGGGGCTGCGAGGAGGCGGCGACGGAAACCCTCCAGGGGATCAAAGCGAAGTCCCCCGTCGCCTGCAACGGAGAAGGCAGGGAGGGAGGCGGGGGTCTTGGTACGTGGGCGACTCCGGAAACCCTGAACCCAAAAACGTTTTCATCTCTTGGGGGCGCACCTTTGACTTCCGCCGCCTTCCGCCAGCCTTACGCTGGCTTCCGCCTGCGGAGGCGGCCTCGTTTTACTTCCGCCGGCCTTCCGCCGCCTTCCGCCGAGGAAGAGATGACAGTTCCTTCGATCCTCGAAGGCCAAGGCCCTTTCTGGAACGCCTCACGTAGGCATCGTCATCGCGCTACCAGAAGGAACGCTGAGTGAGGAACGAGGGGCCGCCCTTGGCCCCACCAAGGCCCCGGCCACGACAAACTCCTCCGGCCTACACTGAGATCCGGCGCTTCGGACAAAAATGATACATCGGACAAACTCACGACCGGAGCCCTCGGCCCCACCTCTGCGGAATTTCTCGAGCCGCATTCGAACTGTGAGGGCCCCAGGGCCCCAAACCAGGGGAAACCGCCCGGCGCGAAGAAAGACACGGCGCGGATCTCAGGGTAGATCTCAAGAGAGGCACGGAGCCCGGAGCCCCTCGTAAGCCCAATGTGATGTGTTACTTCCGCGACTTGACCCTTTACGGCTCGGGCTCGAACGTTCTTCTGTGGCAGCTCTTGCGAGCCTCCCATGGCATCATGCTGGCTCTTGCGAATCGACACCGACCGACGCGAACCGACGCGAATCGACGTGATGTCGAAGCTAATCGGCGCTTTCTCATCGATGACCAGAGCTAGCGCACGCGAGTGCACCCTCAAAGACAGACGCACAAAGACATCCAGGGCTCCCATGCGTTTCTGCTGGAACGTTCTGCTCGCCATGAGGCAGGAAGCACGCACTCGTGAACATGGCGGCGCCTCGTGCAGCGTCGGCGAAGACGACCCTGCCATCCAGGCTGAGGGCCTGAACCGCTGGCGGCATATGAGATGAAGACGGGGAGAGGCAAGACAAGAGAGAATTAGAGAAAGAGGGGAAAGAGAGAGAGAGACAGAGAACCACGCGCGCAACAAGTATTTCTACACACGTACCTCGCAGACAACCCTTCGGGTTGTAAGGGGATTGAGGAATTGAGGCGTTTTGTCGCCGAAACACAGCTCGACTGCAACTGGATGCGCACTGCGATACGCATTTCGCTTAGCATGCCAGTTGCAATCGTGAGATGCGTTCCCACTTGCAGGTGAACTGTGTTTCGCTTTGCGTTTCGAGGTGCGTTTCGATGTGCATTCCGATAGCAAGTTGTGTTACACTTGAATTGCACGATGATGATCATTTCGAATTGCACCATGCGTGTATGTCGAGTTGGACTCCAATGGAGACTCCATGGTGTCGAAGTCGTCTTGCCAGGATGGACCCCGTGCTGTTACTTGTTGTGCTGTGGATGAGTAGGCTATGTTGCAAACTGTGCGGCGCAACCCATGTGGTGCAAACTATGCGGTGTAAGCTTTGTGGCGTGGGATATGTCCCCAAACAATGCTTGAACTTACACGTCGGTCGGAAGAAGTAGGTAAACGGTAAACACACGAAGCAGCAAGGCGGATAAGAAAGTAGATTGGGTTCGAGCCCTCCCAGAGAACAACAAACTACAGCTCAAAAACAGATCGGCTCTTGAAGTAGGAAGGCGTTTGACATAGATTGGGATCTGGGAGTATGAAAATACCTACTAAATACCCACTTTCGAACACCAGCGCGTAGGGGCTCTCACTTCGCATCCGAGGAATCGGGCCTGTTGGAGGCCCCGGTGCCCCGTTCCCGTCCGTCGCCGCACCGTGCCTCCCACTTCGACAAAAACCGCCTGCACCGGCAGGGCGG